TGTCAGATGAAGTGTCTGCACAACCAAACAAGCTGCATTTGAAATGGTGGCTGGCTGGTCTGAATGCTGCATGCTCCTATTGCAAGAGGAATTCCACTCTGTTGTTGTGCTGACAAGCTGCAGATGATGGCTGTGAACATGACAGGCAGTTCAGTTTCCCTGTCCTGGTCTCTCTGCTCTGGTCTTGCCAGAAAGTCCCCTTCCCTCTATTAGAAAGAGGAGGCAAAACATAAAAAACTGCTTTATTAAGACCATATCACTGCTGGGAGATTGAGGAACCCTAAAGCCGGTCCTGTTGAAGCTTCATAAGGGACTCTTTAAGAACTGTGTGTGCAGCTGTATTTCCCTGACCCCATTTGAAAGGGATCATGAAAAAACCAAAACAAGATCTCAATCCAGCAACTATGCGTTTGGTGGATGTCCTAAAGGGAGTGACAGAAAACACAGGGAGAGGCAGTTTTCGTGTCAGGCAGCGTGTTTATGCTTCAGTAACTCACAGCATCTGTTTGAGCTTTGCCTGCCACGATGGGTAAGGCAGAATCAGAAGATGTCATGTAATTAGGTTTCTATAAAGCACATGATAGCAAAGATTAATGAGCAAGGCAAAAATTCCCAGAAAGTAAGGTGTTGTCACACATCCCAAACTGTCACAGATGGAGAATTCTTATGGAGACCTGCAAAGGCAAAACTGATGTTTGTGTCAGTGTGACTTTTCCTTGTCCTGCAGATGGGAATTGGAGCATGGCTGCATGATGCTGCCATGGTACTGGATGTTGAGACCTCTGGTCCCAGTGAATGTGGAAGCTCAGGTAGAGCTAACATAAGAAGTAAAATACCAGATTGAAAAGTGGAACAGTGTGGGTAAAAGGTTGGGATATTGCACATTGCTCAGAAGGGAGCAGAGCAGAGGGATCGTGTATGACGTGCAATGCTGTAAGCAGTTCGCACCTGCACTGCATAAAGACCTGTCCTCTTCAGGTCTCGATGTACTCTACATGTATTAATGCATCATTGGGGCTGTCACAGATGGGCACCTTTGCGTCAGCAAACAACTCGGACTTTACTGTCTAGGAGTAGTAAGGATCATTTGCCTGTGTGAACTGAAAGCAAAAATAGAGGGCACCTAAAACCCCAGCACCCAGCAGGATTGTGCACATGCTTTTCCCTTGGTAGTTTTGCTGCCTGGCTCCCAGCTGCCTTCTGCATCTCCCAGCACCACAGGGATAGTCTGTGTCAGGGGCAGGAGCACAAGCCAGGCTGCCTGGCTCCGGGTTTTATGCTGAAACCAGAAGCACAAGTTTCCCCTCCATTGACAACTTGGGCACTTTTATTCCTCCTCTGGGAGATGGTCTGCAGGGCTAGGATAAAATCACTAAATCATCAATGATTTTTTTAGCTGGCTTTAGAAAAAAGAGTGATTTTGAGGGATTTTTGGGTGAACTGTTACAGTGCTGCTGTCTTTTTGAATTATTCTGCATGAGCAGCACAAGAGAAGAACACAGCCTTGCCTCTCAGTGGTTAATTTTCACAAATGTGAATTTTTCCTAGCGGGAGCAAGGAGGAGGTTTCAATACAGGCTACTGTTAGCCCCTGCAAATGCCAAGTGTCTGCTCTGGAGAGATGGAGAACAAAGTTGGCACCAATAATTAGTGGCTGATGCACTGATTTGGCAAAAGTTGCTGAAAATGAACATCTGATGGAGAGGTCTTGGGATGATTTAGTTAAACACAGTGCAATTTGAGATGACTTTGGGGATGTTATTGTGGAAAGTGCAGGCCTGATCAGAAGGAAAATGTGAAGGAGCTTGGTGTCTTCTTTAGTTCGTTGAGTTTTTCTCTTGAGCTTTCCGAGTGCGTTGTTAGCAGTACAATGATACAACCGAGTTACCGATGATAACTAAGGAAAGTTGAGATGCCAAAACATGAAAAATGTCTCCTTTACTACAGGTACAACTTTGTTCACTTCCTCTTTGGTAAGACGCAGGTATTAATTTGATATGGATGTAGCTGTCACTGAGGAGCAAATCCAACATGGGAATAGCACAGCATGGGCCAGTTCGTCATCCAAGAGACCAAGAGCAGCGCTGGAGGAGAGGAGTCCATGTGGTGTGTGGTCAGGCTGTGTGTGGAGGCATCCCTGCCTGTCTCCCGGAAGAGTCTCCTGGGAAAGGACACTGGTGGGATATGAATAAAAGTCTTGCAGCTACAGCTGTAAACATGTTGAGCTGTGCTGCTGGTCTTGGGACGATTCCAGCACCAGCTGGAGCTGATGCGGCTTGCTCTCTGCTGGAAAGGACATTGGGTTGGTGCCTCAGAGGTACCAGTGCCCACTGGGCATGTTGTCTTGAGGGGCAACACTCGAGGGGTGAAGGTAAATGTGGATTTGGGGAATTCTTATCTTCCAAGCAAAACTTAAAGTGCTTGGTTGGTACCCACTGGCAGAAAGACGACTCCCAGGGAAACTCCTGATAACTTTCCTCAGGGAGTCGGCAGGACTGTAAGCATTAGTGTGACAGTGATGAAGTGAGGAACAGAGAGGGAGCACAAGTAGTTTTCACTGCAGGATGGTAGGATCACGTTTCGCCTCTGGCTAATTTACTCACAACAGGAATAAAGCTACTGCACTAGGAGTTAGTTTGACTTTGACACATAAGAGAAAGAAATGAAAGCACAGAAGCTCTTGATAACTTGACAGCCAACCATACACCAGAATAACACCCCTCAGCAGCAGAGCTGCCCATCTGCAGCCGCAGTGCGGGCTCAGCTCTCCTGCTTGCCCAGCACTGCAGCTCTGCAACAGCAGGGCTGATGGCTTTGGCCTCGCTGCTGATTGCTGTAGCTCTTGGTGAGCTGCACAGAGAGGACATGACCTGCAGCCTCTGCCAGCCCCGTCTTACTTTTCTAGGGAACTTGTGAGATTTATGGTCGAATTTTACAGAAACTGTGGTTTGCCATATAGACTCAATGTATGATTGACCCCCAATCCCGTAGTGAATCCCCTTGGACTGCTGTGTTAGCTTGGTAATCACTGCTAGGTGCTAGCAAGGATTAACACTGAGGTTTCCCTGGTGGAATGAAACATGAGGTAGGGCTGGAGCTCACTGCTTGGCTGGTTTTGAGCCCTGGTGAAGAGTTGTCCCCATTGCTTCAAGGCCAGAACTGTTCACTCTCCACAGTAAACCTGAGAGTTACAGCTGGGCTCTGCATGAAGAGAGAATTTTCCTGCTGAATCATAGATTCTGACCAACTTGCAGCCCCAGGAGCAGAAGCTGCTGGAGCCTCAAGGCTGGTAATGAGAACACCGTGGTTGTGCTTATTAGCTGCATTAAATGCTGTACTCCAGGAGAAGGATGTTGTGGCTCCATGGGGATGTAGGACCACTGCATGTGGCTTTCTGTCTGTCCTGTGTGTGAGCTGAGCTCTGCTAGTGCAGTGCAGTGGCCTGCAGCTTTGGGTCTCATGACAATCATGGCCTTGAAGCTTGGTGAAGAAATGGTAAGGACACACTGGACACATTGCCCAGGCAAATGTGTCTTTTGGGGACTGTCCTTTGACTGAAGGCCTCTTCTAGGAGGCACAGAAGCAAGCATCTCATCACACAAGGCACAGCCTGAAGCACCATGGAGGATGGGTGTGCATCCCTCCTGGGAATGAGGGGCTGTACAGGTTGGTAGGTTGTGCTTACCGCAGTAGGAATCTATGGGGTCTCTGCTCAGGCTACACGCTGCTTGGCATATGCTGAAGCAGAAGCCCAAGGCAGCAACCTTAAGGCAAGAGCACAGTCATTGTAATAATAAGCCCAGTGATCTGGTGATTCATTCATCCCTTCCCAAGCAGCCAGTTTTGATGTGAAAACTTCAATAAATGAAGATGGAGAATCCACTTCTGTAACATTTCCAAGAGCTGTTTCTTGTTTCTGCTTTGAAGATGATGGCTTCAACTTCCTCCCTTTCCTTCCTGTTATGTTTCTGTGAACTAAGCACTGGGAACCTTTAATCAATCTGGAGTGCTCTCATGCCTTTCCTCGCCTCTCTGAGCAAGTCTTCCTGAAATTGTCTGAAATCAAGAGGTTCTCCACGGGGCTTCTCTTGTAATGCAAATGATAATAATGATATTAATGGCAATCATTGTTATTCTGTAGGGTGATATGTCAAGTTTCTATATTTTCATGTTAATTTTTAGTAGGTAAGTGTCTCATTAACTATATCCCATCCTGTAAGAGAACGTGCATTTCATATCACAGGGACTGTTATGAATCATTAGTAATAAAGTTGGCTGCTATTGTGCCTGATGGATTGGTCTTTGACATACAATAATGCAAAGCGACATGGCAAATTGGGAATGAAGTATGAAAAGCTGTTAAAAACATTGTGGACCTAGTTATAAATTAATTACTTTAATATCTAAATTGTCTTCCTGAGTTGCAACGATAAAGAAGATCCATGTCACTACTGTTGAATTGAATGTATGTATCTAAGAAAGTAACTTACGTTTTGAAGCAGGAGGGATTGGTTTGTTACTACCTGCCTGGATAGAAAAAGGCTATGTTGGCAACTGCACTTGCCTTTTGTGCGCAGTAAGATCAGGATTTGAAGTATGGTGTCTATCTTCAGTTGTTCTGAAATGGAAGTTATCCATGGTAGCACAAAACTGCTAAATAGTATATGTTTTTACAAGTACTTTAAAGCAGTAAGTAATTTACTACAAACATCTGCATTCTTCTCATCAGGACATCAGTATGATTTGTTCTCCTTGTGACCTTGTACTTATTACACAGTATTGCTTTGTAGAAAGTCTTGCTTTTACTTTGCAAAGTAAAAATCTTTTGGGTCAGATTTCTCTCTCATTTAGGTTATTTTTAATTGACATCAAGTGAAACTAATGCTGTTATATAATACAAGGAACATAACAAACTCTGCTACTTCACATACACACCAGCATAGCTGAGACCTGAGCCTGAACCTCTCTTGGTTGACAACCCATTTGTCTGTTTGGTTTCAGCTGCTAACCTCACTAATCTGGGCAGTCTCGACAGCGTGTTGAGCTTTATTGAAGACCGGGTGCATAGATCGAGGCAGCGCTATCGAAGGCATGCGACGGAGGATGATTACAACATTGAAGTCCTTTTGGGGGTTGATGACTCAGTTGTTCAATTCCATGGGAAAGAACATGTCCAGAAGTACCTGCTGACCCTGATGAATATCGTGAGTATAACTCCACTAACTGCACTGTGGGACGGAAGGTGAATGTAGGTTGGTTTAGCCATTTGAATATGACATAACGGGTTTTTCTTATGACAGGAGATAAAACTCTAGCAGGAAAATTCAGAAAAAGCCACTTTCAGAAAAGCCAGATGGGGAGAAGGAAAATAAGAAAAAGGGGCCAAGAAAGAAGCTGACTATGGGACTCTTAAAATATTCAAAGTCCTGCTTATGTACTTTGGTGGATGGAGCACAGAGTCAGGGGCTCAGGTTCTGGGAAATCATTGCATTTTAGTTGCATATTCCCTTAACCTAAGCTCCCTGCTGAAAAACATGGTTTGGAGAACTTGCTTCAAATGAGGTTCTATTAGAAACTTTGATTAGTTTATACATTTTTAAAACCACTCAGTGAAATCCTTTTGATTCCTCAACAACCACCTGAAGTCCCAGGCCAAAGACCTACTCCTTGTTCACCCTCCAGTAAAATATTACAGTTTATCGCTGAACTTTATGAAATTGTTTTAATATTTACTCCATGACTGACATCTTTAGGTTTCCTTAGTTAAATATTTACCCTTCAGAACCATAGTCTGTACAGCAGAGTATATAGCATAGAAGTGATGAAAGGAGACACTAGAGAATATTAGATTTGAAAGAACTATTTTTCCTTTCTAAATATCAGTGCAACAGGCACAGCAGCCCTCTAGTACCTTGGTCAATAAGCAAGGAGTCTATTTTCTGGGAAAAGAATCAAGTTTTGAAAAATCATTTCTATTACAGATCAAAACCAAAGCGTGTTTTATTCTTCTGGCCAAAATAATGGAAGTGAGTGGTAGCCCCCTTCACAGGCAACTCATTCGGAATGACTTTCTTCCTTCTCATTCCCATCTGCAACAGGAGTCTTTTCTCAATAAAGCCCACTTCTCTAAAAACTTCAGGTTCAGTGAATGGGTGCTCTTAGTGAAATATTGTTGAGTGAAAAATCATAGGTCTGCTCTGTTTTTGACAAATAGAGTATGACTGCTGAAGTGATGTCAAGGGGATGAGTGTCTGTAGGTGACTGCTTGGCACTACAAACCATAGAGGCAGGTATATGGACAGAAATCCAGGCTGTGAGGTACATTTGCCTGGGATATATTTTTTCCAAGATATATATTTTTAATTATGGAGCGTGTTTCTTTCTTTCTTTATTGCATTCTGTTCACAATGTGCAGAATGTCACCGCTTTTCACTGTAAATGAGAGGTGGAATACAATTTAAGAAAAACCCTTGTGTGATGTAAATTCAGTTGCGCTGACTTTTTATAACAATATTGTGAATAGTTAAAAACCTGCACTAACGTTAGAGTTATAAGGTACTTAGTGTCTGCTCTGACGGCTGTAAATACATATATTCTAACAGAAATGACATAGTGAATTTCATTTATGTGTGTGGTTTGTTTCCTCTGAGGCTTAAAACAAAGTCTACAGTGAAACAGATGGTTTTATGCATCTCTAAATTAACAAGCCAAACAGGCCAAACCAGAAATGTGACTGAAATGGATTATACAGGACTCTTTACTTATCATGTCATTTAAATCTATTTTTAAGAATTAAAATATACAGTAATGGTTAAAGAAGCCCTAAATGTTCCAGTTATGGAATATACTTTTCTCTAATTTTAGCAAACCATCCAACACACAAATTGTAAGGAATAACAGCTCTTCAGCATGCTGTCTGTGCAAGTGGTTTAGAAAGTACAGCCTGTGTAACCATCCCCATAGGGCTGCAGCAGCTCTTGGCATAGGCTGTAGTTGTTCTGTTGGGAGAAACATGTCTTCTGGGGACTGAGGATGTGTCACTTGCCCTGTGTCCAAATATGAGGAGCAGTTTGAAATCCACAAGCCTCTTGAGGAGGCTCTGTATAGTCTTTGGCAGTTGTCAGTGTTGCCTTGTTCTTTTCTTCTTCAAAACTCAGCTGGTTTCTAGAGTCTGTATTTAGCAGAGCGATGGGTGATGGTAACCAGCTCTGTTTCCATCTGTCCAAGTGTTGCTCCAGAATAGAGAGGCAAGAAGAGTTTGTTACTGCAGATCCCAGGCGATGCTGGAGACCTGCATCATGTTGAGGGACATCACAATGCAGAACTTGTCCTTCCCCTTGGCAGTGTAATTCCAGCTGGCAGCTCCTCCAGCTCTTGCCCTCATTGCTAGCTGAATGCAAAGCATGCTTCTGTTTAGACCATTCCTGTGGTCTCCTTTGCTGAAGCTCACACAGTGACTCCCCCATTGTCCTCTCTTTTACCTCCTTGAGTAGTTGGTTTTGTTTTTTACTTTCTGAAGAAAATGGGCCCAATATAAAAAGCCTGGGGGTTCTCTGGCTGTTAGTAGTCACATGTATGCAGTATGTTTCTTATAAGATGCATAGGTCCAAGGGTACCTGAAAAAAGAAGAGACGGGTACAAAAAGTTCCAGCTGTCTTTTTAAATCTGGTGGAAGGTCCTACCATAGCCGTCAGATTGTGTGGTACCCTGCTGGTTTTATGGATGTAATCCATTAGCTGCGTATGGTAACAAGGTAGTAAGCATAAAATCAAAGAATGCATAGAAAGTAAATAAAAGATTAGTGGAAGTATTTACTGGAGATAAAAGGGTGATCAAATAGTTGACTTTCTGTCATTCCAAAAGTGAAATAAATCCCAGGTGAATCCTCCCTTGTGCCAAGCACCTGGATACATGACGTCACTTTCCCAGAAGCCACTCGCAGCATGATTTCTTCTCCCCAGTTTTCTTGATCTCATTGCATGTGATGGTGTGAGCAGTTGTCCTTGATTAACTTTTCCCAGGGATCTTGGGTGGAACCCTACCACCAACCCAATCAAAACAGTATTTTTTTGTTAAGCCCAGTGCAATGACTTATTCAGTTAATCTGTTTTGTGCTGCTGAAGTGATGTGTTACAGTCCACACCTAAAAGCCATAAAGTGAGGAAAAACAGGGGCCGGGTGTCCTGGCTATCTCAGATAGCTGTGCTAATATTTATCCCAACGTTTGGAAATGAAGTCACTCCCAAACGAATGGTGATTGACTCCAGAGGAGTTTTAACACTTTGGGCTGCAGCCACGTATTGCCTGACTGTTCGCCAGCCGCTTCACCACAGTGAGCTCGGCCTCTTGCCACCCCCTTTTCACCCTCCAGTCATTTCCTCAGACAAACCCTTTGGTTTCTCCTGACATCCTCTCTTTTCTCTGCTCAGCACCATGAGGACGTTCAGTCCATCTTTGGAAAATATGCCATTGTTTTCACATTAGAGACCCTCGGCTGCCTCTTGCTTGCACCAGTTTCCTTCGTACATCATGCTGTGTTTTTTCCTGGAAAGGATATTAGCTTGCACAGTCCTCTGCATTTCCAAGCGTGAGCCCACACATTGCACAAATTAACTTTGTATTTATAGCATGCAGGAGCATTGCAACAGAGGAGAGAGATTTGAGCGGTATCTTGCAGCTCTGTAGTTCACTCAGGAACATGGAAGGTGATTCAGCTTCAGCAAGAAGAAAGCTAAAACCCAGGGATTTTGTTTGCTCGTGCAGGTGTTTGGGAAATACTAGAAAAGGCTGGAAGTGGTGTTGGAGAATTATCTTGTTCTTAGGAAATGAAAGTATTTCACTGCAGGATGCTTTGAGAGGAGGAACAGGGTGCTGAATGGATGTTACTGAGCTAAATGGCTTGGATGGGTGTACTGTTCTCTGGCTGGATGGCTGAGCCCAAAGAGTGGTGGTGAATGGAGTCAAATGCAGTTGGTGGCTGGTCACAAGTGTTGCTCCCCAGGGCTCAGTACTGGGGCCAGCTCTGTTCAGTATCTTTATCAGTGAACTGAATGAGGGGATCAAGCACACCTTCAGTGACTTTAGATGACACCTAGCAGGGTGGGAGTGCTGACCTGCTTGAGGGCAGGAAGGCTCTACAGAAGCATCTGGAAAGGCTGCATCGATAGGCTGAGGCCAATTGTATGACGTTCAGCAATTTTCAGGGCAAAAGTCTTGAAATTTCCGTTCCATTCCTTTACTGTTAAAGTTGTGATACTGCAATATTTAGGGGTTAGTGTCTCTTACATCTGTATACATCTGGCCAGAATACTTGGAATGTTAAAACTCATCTCTTCAAAGTAGATAGGTGCCTAACTACCATTATTTCAAAGGGACATAGACCATAAATAGGATTTATGCCTCACTCTGGGCTAGATTTATCTGAGTATTTAGTCATTTACCTGCCTTTGAAATCAGTAAGAATCAGTTCTAAAAACTAGCCCATGGGATTATGTCTCTCCTAGGCTTTAAGTGAAACTTCATCTGCAGAACAAATACATTAACCAACTTTTCATTTGAATAACTGAAATCAATGGGAGTTATGCAGCTGGGGGCTTTGGAAAGTCCCAGAGTCTTTCACCTGCATATTTCAGCGCTACATGTCTTTGAAATTGTGGCCCTGAGGCACTGTTGAATATGTTATCTGTCCTCTTTAATAGGATGTACATGGTACTACTATTATAGATGAGATTTCTGCTTTCCTGTCTCTGGCTGATGAAGGATGAAGATTTGCAGGTACAGAACAGCAAGTCCCTGTTGAGAGGAAAGGGCAGAAATGCCATTGGTTTCTAACTGGCAGTTGGATGGAAACCTGAAAGCGTGTCTAATTCAAGCTGTAAAAAGAATGATTGAATACTTTGAAATAATGATGCACCCTATATTCAGAATCATGTTTTTTAAACTAAAAAGCTTTTTTTTTTTTTTTTAGATGGGAAGGATATTTCAGTAATGGAAAATTGACTGGAATTCTAGAAATTAAATAATTCATAAGCACCAATACTCATTAGCTCAAATCAGTTTATTTCAGTATGTACATTTCATATCCGAACTAACTCTAAGAAGTTCCACATGTACCAAATGCAAGTCCAGCTCTATTTGTCTGAGGAACTTCAGCTGTCAACAGTTAAATTACAGCTTGTTTGATAATTTAAATATATGCCTCTGA